GTGTCCCTGCTCCCTGCAGGGGGGTTGGACTAGATGACCACTAGTGGTCCCTTCCAACCCTAAACATTCTATGATTCTATGATTCTATGATTCTATCTGTGGAGCAAGCGCTCTTCCTGCCTTGCAGGGAGGGACCGGCGAGTCAAAATCGGGCTTTGGGTGGTCTGAGTGGGACCTCCCGTCACCTGCCTTTAAGTGAAGAGCCCTGGAGTGTTATTTAAGCACGCACTCGGTAATACCAGAAGTAACAGTTTCTTTTCTCTTTTTTTCCCCTAGGAATTTCCTTGTTGTTGAGGGGGGTTTTTTTGTCCAGCTTCTGTATGCATCTCCTACAGCAGCAAAGACCCGTTCCGTAAATGCACGTGGGTCGTTTAGATGCCGTGCGCTTGCATGAGGAGAGCGGTTGGAGAGGTGCAAGTGCAGAGGGAAGGCGGTGGAGGGAACAGGGAGGCACAACACCTGGCACCGCTGGGTGCGAGAAGCGTGTTGGACTGCCTGAAGTCACAGGTGAGCCAGATCCTTTGCCCCCGTATCCACAGACTGACAGCGGAGGCAATGTAACACACCCATGGATTTTTTTTGCAGCTTATAATAAATAATAAACTTCTGTTTTATTGTAAAGCCACGCACTTCTGCTCCCCTCAGCAGCGAGTTTTGGGGATGTCTTCGAGCCTTCGGTAGTTAATTTCTCAATTAATCTGAAGCTGTTTGCCTTCGAGGGATTGCTTTAGTTTGAATTTCCTCGTTAATTGTAGTTCTCCTCTGTATTTGGACAGCACTGTTTTTAATAGGGACAGGTTTTTCCCTTGGCTGCCACCTCTTTTTCATCTGTTTATTCACCCCGCCTGCCTGGAGATCCGCTGCTCCCTGGGGGAAAGAAGTCATTCAAGCTGAACTTTCATCTGAACTCCCCCAAAGCTTGTGAAGAATTTTACCTCTTCGCTAAGGAGCCCTCTGCCCTGCCACGAGGTGTTGTCTTACCCTCCCGTGGTCCCTCTGCCATTCCTCAGCCGGTTGCTCAGAAGAGGACTTGGTGCCACCTGCTATTTTTTTTTTTTTCCTTATGGCAAGGAAAGAGATCTCGAACTAATTCCGTGGGGCTTTTTATAGAGCAGAGATTGTGATGGTCTTAATTTACCAAACTGGAAGTTTTGCCACCTTTACTCGATCTGTTTGGGGCCAGTCACCGTATGCACAAATGGGGGGTGAGCTGAAGCTGGCTGCCTTAAGGGTGAACCCACCGCTCTCACTGCTTCAGTTGACTACAGATACCGCCATACAGAGTATAAGGCTGGCAGGGCTTTTTTAACAGCCCTTTTTTTTTGGGGGGGGGGGGGG